CCAGCTCTTCAATAAAGGTTTTAACCTGAATTAGGATCCCCAGAGAGTCCATAATACCCGAAAGGATAAACTAAGTAATCTTGGTGTGTATGTGTACATTGTCATTTTTCTAGTGAGCTAGTCCACAGATGGTCAAAGGGTCCATGAATCTACCAACCCAACAGAGTTAAGCTTTCCTTTCCTGTATGGACCCAAGAACTAGATATGGGCAGTGCACTCTTGTATACTGGTTAATGCAAAGTTTCTCTTTCCTCGCTATAGCAAGGGCTAAGTTTTCTAGTATACTGGAATGTCATAGGTAGAAGAGCCCTCAAATACCATCTAAGAAAGGGATTTGAAAATGTATTCTGTTAGGTATCCCAGCGTCTGGGGAAATGGGTGCTGTGAGTTCTAAGTTTCCCCACCACTGCTTCACCAGAGTCCTGACTTTATTTACTATGGTATGTATTTGAATTCTACATATTATTATTTTTGAAAGATGGCTTTGTTGTTAAAACAAGGTTTGGAAATCATGGTTCTAGTCTAGCCTCCTCATTTTAAGTGCATTGAGATAGAAGGGGAAATTATTTGCCCATGGCCATAAAGCAGTTACTAGGTTGATATAGATCAGGTTTTTTTTTTTAAAACAATGTCAGCATCACCTGGGTTTTTGTTAGGAATGAAAATATTTGGACCCCACTCCTGATCTTCTGAATCAGAAAGGTTGAGGGTACAATCTCTATAGTTTGACAGATCCTTCAGGTAATTCTGATGCACACAAAAGTTTCAGATATACTTGGAAAGGGGAAAAAGCTGCTCAAAGATCTGGGTTCCAGGCAAGCTCCACTGCTTAATGAGAGCAACCTTTGATTACAGTTTCTTCATCTGTAGAAGAAGGGTAGTATTTGCCTTATGGACTTGTAAATGTCAAAACACAGTAGGATTGAAAGTGCTCTCTAACGTGTATCATGCTTTATATGTGTGAGTGGTGTGGATTTATGCCAGGGTTAGTGAGTCTTGAAATCAGGTCTCAAGTCCCATAGAATGCTGTATAATGCTTTCCTCTGGCCCTCAAAGACTCGTCTAAAGATAAGGATCAGATTGCATTAGTTCATTTCTAGTGCAGGTCCAGAGAGAGTTGTCTTTCTTAAACCTGGGAGTTAAGAGGTCAGGTTGAAGGACTTCACATGGTGGATGTGGGGGTGGGGGTATGCAGTTGCCATGAAACAAACTTAGTCTAATGCTCTTGGACCTTTTCCTTCTAATTAGAGATCAGAGACTGATTAGAAAAGTCTTTGAACTGCATCCATTTAACAGTGATGTGTGTCAAGGAAATGGAGCATATATTATATTAGTCAACAACAGAATTGAGAGACCCCATCCAGGAGGAAATAAATTGTTACAGATGAATATGGTTCTTACCCCCCATTTTGTGGTATAGACTGTGTTCCAACAAAATTTGCAATGAAGTGATAATTGCTAAAATACTACTGTTCAAGAGTCCTGCAAGGTCCACTGTGAAAGGATTAAAACGTCTGGACCAGGAGGTGGAAAAGCTTGTTTGAGGGGGTGATATTAGTATTGGGTCTTCAATGGCAGAACTTTACTAATAAGAATAATAAGTAAAGGAAGGGAAAAGTCTGAAAGACTTGAGAAACAGCATGGTTGGGACACTATAGCAGGGTCCAGGATAATTGGAACATGGTGATGTGGCTTGGTAGGTCATGAGGCCAGAAAGGTGATCTAGAAAGTGATTTGGCCAGATCAGTTGATTTTCCACGTGTGATTAGGGAAGAAGCACTGAACATTGAATTGTCCCCTCTTGGAATTCTTATTGTTTTTAACAGTCTTCCCATATTCATGCTGCCACTCTCCTCTGAGAAAGTCTTTTTTAAAATAATTATTGAGCCATATTAATTTTACCAAATAATAGGTTTCAATGTGACATTTCCAAATATGCATATATTGTGGTTTAATCAGATCCACCCTCCCTATCTTGCTCAGGAAGTCTTTATGTATTAATTTATTCTTTGAGCATACTTCATTCCCCCACCAGAGTTCAAGTTCCTCAGGACAGGAACTCTTTCTTCCTCTTCTAGCTACGTATAGGTCAGGCTATTATTTGGTACTAAGAATTTGATACAGGTATGCCTGAGGAATGTTAGAGGAGGCAGCAACAAACAAACAAACAAAAAAGAGGCTGGGGAAAGTTGTACTCTTATTTTCATGGAGTATGATTTTAAAATAAGATTTTCGAATTCACCAATAGTCCCTTGCAAAGGCCCCTAGTGCTGGGCTCCACTGTAGCACTTGTAGTCACCTCTGCATTTAGAATGAGACTGACCTGGGGTGGAATGGGGAATGGGTAGGAGGCACCAGGAAGGCCTGAAGGAAGAGAGGACAACCTGTGACCAAGGGCTTACTGGCTTGGAAGTTATTAGGTTGTGGATATCCAGTCCTGCTATTTACTACTAATTCTTGTTCATCCTCCGTCAAATCTCTTCAGTGCTTTTGAAGTCTCATTTTCTGCACAATAACCTGAGAAGAGGTTGGTGCACCTGAGCTCCTTCAGTTAGGTGATTTGCCACCTTTGGCTCTGATATTCTGGTTAAGGCTCAGTAGATGATGTCTCTGAGGATGTGAAGCAATTCAGGGAGAAACTATAGGCAATATATAGAAATAAGTCTGAGCTGAGCCTGCTTTTAACCCAGCAGTAGAAGCCAGCACTACCCTATGAAAAGCTTGTTTGAGGGGGTGATATTAGTATTGGGTCTTCAATGACAAAACTTTACTAATAAGAATAAGGAGTAAAGGAAGGGCAAAGTCTGAAGGACTTGAGAAACAGCATGGTTATTTAAACAAATAGCATATAATCTAGTGTTAGTCTAGGAACTGTGTTGGACTTCCACAGTTAGAGGGACCATGCTTACTGTGGTAAAAATCAGATGCATCTCAAGATGCAGGTCACAGGGACAGAAATTTCATACTTTACGAACAAACTGGAATACATATATATATATATATATATATATATATATATATATATATATAGTATGATTTTTGTCATTAATGTTCTTAAAGAAAGAGTCCTTAGTGATTAATAGACAAATAGTTTATGCAATAAATAAGAGTGGTTACAGTTCATTGTTGTCAACAATATAGCATTTTCCATCACGATTATAGGTGAAACAAATTGAAACCTTATGAAATAGTCATAGCATATTCATGCTAATGAGAACATATTATGAAGCACTGCACATGCATTATAGGGGCAGACAAAACTGGGGAAGGGATATATTTCACTCACCTCTTGTTGGCTCTGTGTATTTTGTCATTGAGACTTACATTATGTTTGGGTCAAACAAGAAACCCAAAGAGGTTTTATAAAAGTTTACAACCATTAAACAGTATTGTTTAATCCCACAAATGGATAAAGCAAACTACTATAGCTCAATGATACACAAACCAGGACTAAAAATAGTCAATCTGCCTATGTATATAGCTGGCCATAATACAATAGATATTGAATATGCTGAGTCTTTACAAAGGCATTGACTACTTTAGATAAGCAGGTTCCAGAAATGTACTGGTTTGGTTTCCAATGATAACTAGTGCCTTTTCAGTTGAAGACTATGCACTCCTCAGTATCAGACCTGAGGAGAAGCAAACTTGGGGAAGGCAGAAAAAGGTTAGGAGGAGACCTGAGCAGGGCTCTTTGGACAGCTCGGCATTACTTTCCCTGTGCAGATCCAGACCTGGTTCACAGAGTAAAACAAAGTGTATTGAAATTGTTGGCCCTCAAAAAGGGCATTTTGTACAAAGTCCCATAATTACAACATAGATAGAATGGTAACTGAGTGCCTCTCAAAATGAACTCTTCTGTGTTAGAAGAAAACTCAGTGACAAAGGTTAATGGACATCAATGATTGAATTCCTATATAAAGATGATTTATTCCAAAATAGAAAAAATGAATTTTAGAGAAGTATTCTCCTAAAAACTAGCAGGGGGTAGGAAGAAAGAGGGAGGGGAGAAAACCATGCTGTGTGTTTCATTATTTAGAAGAAGAAAAGTTTTGTAGACCATTTCCATAAGCATCTGTCATATCTATCATTCTCCCTTCTATACCTGGCACCTTAAGAGAGTGCAGTGGTTCAATGTTACATTTGAAAAGGCTCCTACTCTTTGAGCTGTCTTATAGAAAGGGTACCCTGAATTGACCATGCTACTCCAGGGTCACATTTGTCCTAAGGTCAAAATGAAAACAACAACAAAGTCACAAAAGGAAAAAAAAAAGTCACAGAATCTACAAAATCTAAGGCCTGAACAGGCACAGACTTGCTATGAGGTCAGAAAAATCAGTGAGAGAATTTAAATTACAAAGCACCTCTTGCAAAATATACTGTTTCTTGAAAATCACACAAAACACTGTGCAGTAACCCCTGCTAAGTGCTTGGAGGTAAGTATCCTGAAGGACACATGCTTAGCCCCATGAAGGAGGCTGTTATTATCAAGGGAGCCGAGGGGGTCCCAATGCTCTTTGTTATTTGCTGTTTTTATAATTATAGACAGAAATGGAAAAGTCAAGAAGTATGCAGACCTCCAATATAAAGAAAATGTCACTCTACTATAATTTAACTAAGAGCCAAGCTTGGATTTGCGCATTCATAGTTGTACAGCTCCATTATAGATTCTTGCAGATGATTCACTAACATTGACACTTTTTACACAAACTCCCCTTTTGAAGGACACATTAAATAGCCTAAAGAGAACTTACGCAATATAATGTTTGAAATTGGACACACAATAGCTGTGCACCTAATAATAAAGAGGCCTTGAAAAATTGTCTTTGTCTATAAACTACTACTGCCCTTTGGAAATAAAAGCTCCCTCACGACCCCTGGGTTACTTCCCTGTGACACACAGTGCCACAGATATCATGGTGAAAATTCAGTACCAAACCTAGTTTAAGATGAGTTTTGTACATTTGTTTCTATACAGTCAGGAAAAAAAAGAGATACAATTTGTATCAACAAAAGGTCATTTCTGGTTTTTTGAGGCATTGCTCCTAGCCACTTTGGTTCATACACATTTTATGAAAGGAGAAAAATGACAATTGTTTTTAGGAAATAAGAAATACATATGCTTCCTTAAAAATATTTCCTGTATTGGGAGGAGCTTACAATATTTTGAGTACTAAGTATGGACATGTTGAAGATGAATTGCAGCTGACAAGATTAATCTTGTGCTTCCCTGTCAATTGTGCAGCTAGTGGAGACTGCAGTGCCATTGATGATTTTTGGTAGGAAGATGAACTAGCACAAAGGCATTGCGATAATCTGAGATTGTCAAATACCCTTATTTAGACATGGGGCAGATTTAGAAGGTCCAAGAAGTTGAAGGTATGAAGTGGTGGTGTATGAAATAGCAAGGTCTGCAGTGGCAACTGTCACTCTCTGGGGACCTATCTGATAGAAAAATACTTTTACACTTAATCAGTATGCTGGGGGATGGGAAGATTAGAGGGTAGGAGATGAATGTGAAGCTGTGGTTAAGTGAAGAAAGCATTGGTTAAGATGCAGTGTTGATCAACTTGGACAGAGACAGAAAGCAGCATGCAAGCCATTGTCAAACTACCAGAAACAACCCTGACTACAGCCTCACATTCGGAGTGTTTCACAGTAAGAAACATTTATAGGCAGTGTCACACCTTCTCATGAAGAAACAAAAGGCCAAGGCCAGGCCTTCTCAACTTTCATGAAAAAACGACCATAGAAGTTAGCAATTTCCAGCTCAAGAAATAGTGAGCTGGTCATGGTTCAAAATGTTAAAATATACAGTGGATTCAAAAAGGGGGTTCATTTAGTGCAGCTTAAAAAAAAAAAACAATAAACACCTCTTCTAGAGGCATTTAGCTACAAAGGTTCCCACCCTGAGCAAGATACAAATTGCGCAAATGGTGCCACCCAACCCCAAAGTCATCTTTAGTGATGCATCTAAGAATTATCTAATGGCAAGTGCACCCTCTTTGCAGGGATTTGAAGTGCATAACTGAGCCAGCAATTAGCAAAAATGCAGCATCCCCTTTAGAAGCTGTCTTTTTCCACTTAGAAAATCCCCTGGTTTGTTTCCTAAAGAAATTCTGCTCCACCAGTGATTGACCTTATTGCCCAAAGGGTGAACAGCAGGAGAAAGTGGATTACATGGCTATGCACTGTCTTCCATTACATTTTATCCTGTGATGTTGAATACTGCATAGGTCAGAAGTCCAAAAAGCATCCATTAGTCCCTCCTTGTGTGAAGCTTTTGTATTCATCGTTTAATGCCACATGGGTTTGGCCATCTTTCCTGGGATAAGGGGAGTGGACTCTGGAAGTAAGTCCCTTAGTTCTGGTCAGACTCTTCTGCGCTTGTGTAGTACACATATACTATGTGTGGAACTTGAGCTTATCCAATATCTCCTCTGCAGAAGGCTGTAACCTGTCCCCTAATTTGTTGAGGTGAAGAGACTTGGAAGTTAAGAACTGTTAATAAACATTGGCAAGTAAAAAGTGCAAAGGAAATATAGCTGGTTCACTCTGGTGCCTAAGAAAGCAATGTTCAAATATTGGCATTTAATTTTACTTTTCAATCTAGTTGAAACTATGAAACGTGACAAAATCATCAAGTCAGATTCATGATCTATACAGCTATAGACTAAGGACTATGTACAGTCTACCTTCTCATCACTATATAAAAATTTATACCAGAGATACACACATACACACATCAAAAATCAAATATATATATTCATACATGCAATATAATTGCTAACAGTAGGCTTTAAATATAGCTCTAGAAGATTCAATGTGACCTTATAATTTCATTAATAAAGAGAGTGAATTAGCAAATATCCATGCAATAAAGTATGTGTTTACTTTTAAATATCTTTAAATGTTTCTATTTAAAAAACATAAAAGGTTAATACAACATATGATCTGATCCTGATGCTTTTGCTCTTCAAATTGGATATATTATCCGTAATTTGAAAACACTGGTAATGGAATCCCTTGGGGCTTCTTGCATTTAGGCCTCTCCCCTTGGGTTTTGTCCTCCATTACCTGCATGGTGCAGTGCAAAGGACAGGGGACTTGGAGTCAAAGGACTTGGGTGTGTGTCTTGACTTGGTCATTTGCTAGCAGCACGACCTTGGTAGGTCACTTAATCTCACTGAGTTTCAGCTGCCTTCTTTATAGTAAAACCTACCTCACAGGGTCGTTATGCGCTTAAATGATGTAAACACTCCTAACTTTTAAAGCGCAATGCAAATTATTAGTTACTATGATCATAGTATTAGTGTATTATTAGCATTAATATTCATATGTGTATAAAGGAACAAGTCCTTTGTCATGTCAACGTGCAGCCCTAAGCTTGGCAACAATCAAGGCTGCCAGTTGCTGGGCATCTGCTGTATGGGGATTCTTCTCCATCACTGCAAGAACGATGTTAGAAGGGAAAATATTGCAGAGGTTTTTGTAGGTCTGAAATTGGTGCTCTGGGATCATATGCTCCCTGGAATCATTGCACATTCCAACCCAAGGATTCCTCCAAAGCTGCTCCATCTTTTCAGGCACGCTCCGTACCATGACTGGCTCATAACATGGTTGCATGAGGCTGTTACTTAAGGGATAGGAGTGGTAGCCATAGGAGTCAGTTGCACAGGGCAGCGGGTCCCAGCTGGCATGCTGTTCACGGCACAGAGGAGGTCGTCTTTGCCTCATGGGGTTGCTCTCATAGAGGCGAGAATCAGAAATACTGTCCATCCGTGTCATCACCAGGGCACGGCCTGACTGTGAAGTTGCCCCAGGATGGATATTGGGAGGCATGGGGTAGTCTCCAGGACAGCTGGATCGTGCTCCAGTTGCTGGGAGCTGGGCATGCAGGGCTAAGTGGGGAACTGATTGCTTGTGGGGGGCTTGCTTGGAATCCTCTGGGCCATAGCTCTGCACTCTCGTTAAGGCTTCATGGTAACCATGAGAAAAAGGCTGAAGACGGTTCTGAGATGCTGAGCGGTGCAGCTTCAAACTGCCTTCAGGATGGGTATCAGCTACAGCCAAGTACAGGTTGTTGTAAGAAGAATAGTTGTCGTTCCTGGTATGGCTCATGCGGCTGTCAGGACAGAGATTGGGATTCCGAGCATACACCCCCCGGTCCGCTTCAGCCATGTAGTACTCTCGATTGTGCATGCTGTTGACATTCAGTTTGGAGAAGTCGCCTAACATCGAATAGTAGCCATGGTCCCCCATGGACTCAAACTTTGGGTATTGCTCAGCATAGTTAATAGGGGTCCCATGGCTGTTGGTAACCAGGATAGGGGGGTACTGCATGCTGGCCATGTGCTCCAATGAGGCCTTCTGGTGGGGGAAATGAGAGGATCCTGGCACTGGGCTGCTGGCCGAACGGGTGTTGAGTGCACCCACTGCATGGCTTTTGGGGGGTGGGATTGTGGGAACACTTAGGGCGGTCACAAGTGAGGGGACAGAGCTGGCCTCAGGCTTACGGGCAATGGACAGCCATTCCTCAGGCTCCACAGCCACAGACCGGATGCTGGGATCTGATTGGCGCTTGGGGGCCACACGTTTGACCTCTGAGGTTATCTCACCTTTGGCGCTAGACATCCCTGTGCCACACTTGGCTAGGGTGCCTTCGCTCATGGTTTTCACTGTGGATAGTTTGGCACTGATGCGGAGCTCATCAGCCACCGAACGCTGGGGTTGGTTGGCCCGCTCCGGATGGTAGTATTTGCACTTGTGGCCGTAGGTGCATTTTTTGCCTGAAAAATAATGCCTTGGGTTAAGACTCTCTCTCATAGTGGTGTAACCCTCTGTGCCAGAAACTGTTGTAATAAACTGGTCACCCAGGTTATGATCAGACACTTTGAGGTTAAGGCAGAAAATTAACTGTCCACAAAGATGAGAGACAGACAACACCAAGAAGCATCACACACTGAGATGAGAGGGAGCAAGTGAAAAGCTGGGGAGGAATCAGCTGAGCAGTTGAACAGTCTTGCATTTCTGGTAATGTGCAACTTGGCCTAGGGATAATCTGCATGCTGAGGCAGCCTAGAGTAAAGGAAGGCAGTATGGTACAGTGCAAAGAACACAGGATTGGAGGCTAGTAGAACCCAAGTTTCAATTATAGCCATATCCCTCACTGGGCCGTGTGACCTTAGTACATGATACTTTCCCCCTGAGCCTCATTTTCCCCTTCTGTAAACAAGCTTCATAATTATGTCTCTATTATAAGATCATTGTAATGAAGAGTTACAGGGTATGGAAATACTCTGTGATTTAAATGTTGAGGAAAAAAACAAAATGCTCACCCCCCAAACAAAGAGAAAACATCAAAAATAATCTCAGACCAAGCAGGCCATATTGCAGTTAGGCTCATATACTTTGTATCAGAGGGACTTGGGTAAAGTACAAATATACTGTAGAAAACTGTACTAAAAAATATAAAAAACAATGAAAATAAAGTTTTTGGCAACTGGAAAGCACAGATCAGAAGAACAGAGTTTTCCCAATTGACAGAAGGTTCAGTAACCTGCCTGAGAGATATGTTCTTCTTGGGCCAAACCCAATTTGATATTGCCTTTTCTGCTTCAGGAAGTCAGGTAGGTTTCTGCATTTCTCTGTTCTCCACAACAATGTTTGGTCCTTAAGCACTAAAGCACATGTGTTATTTTAATGAGTGGCAACTAGTTTTCCCTTCAATTTGGTTTCCTTTTCCTCAAGCAGTTTCTAAGGTTTTTCTTTAAATGCTTAACTGAGAGTACAAGAAGACAAGAACTTTATCTCACAGAAAATGGACAAGCCAAGATTTCCCATTTGAAAGGGAAATATGGAAAAGAAAAGTATTCCCTTAGAACAGAGCTCAGTTCTGCACATAGGTACTCACCATAAGGACATGGTTGCTTCTTATGCTCAGGAACGACAGGTCTCTTTCTTAAGAAATTTTCAAGGCTTGGTCCATGACGTCCTAAAGGGTCATCTGGAGGCATAAATCTGAAAGCAAGCAAGCAATGGGTGAATGTCTTTCCTTCTGTCCCTATGCTACCTCTTATGGGAATTTCAGACCTTCATTACCTCTTCTCTGTTCTATTGTGACAGCCTTCTAACTGTCCTTCCTGCCTCAAGTCTATCTTTTGTTAACCCAGCATTTCTGCCTTTCATTCCTACTGGATCACATAGAAAGAATAATTTTTCCCTATGCATCATTCTTCCATGGATTATATGTTCCAACCATACTGGCATATCTGCTGGGTTCCCCCTACATGCCACCCATGTTCACTCCTTCATAGCTTTATTCATATTGTTCTCTACACCTGTTGTGTCCAGCAGCCCTCCCTCCTCTATCTGTAAACTTCATTTCAAATGTTATCTTCCCTAGGAAGCTTTCTCTTATCACTTCACATGGACAAATTAAAAATAAAAGTTAACTGTAGTGCTTATCACAACACATTGGGTGGCCTTTTTTTGGTCTTTTCCACTATACTTTGAACCCCTTGGGTGGGAGTCCTGTTTTTCATTTAGTCTTTTATCTCCATGGCAACCAGCATCATGCATGGTACACAATAAGTGTTCAATAAATGTTTATTGAAATGAAATGAAATTTGTTCCTACTAGTAACATGGATATAGGCTATTCAGAGCCTATTGGAACAAAACGCACTTGTCATTCACAAAAGAATACATCAGCAACCGCTCCTCTATAAACTTCTTCCATTCTGGCTTTTCAACTTGAAGGTCTCTGTAGTTATCATTGGATACAATGATGCCGTCAGAATCAAAAGCCAATTTGACTATGAACCGGTCATCATAGCAGACAACCCTTCTGCCCTGGACCCTTCGGGATGGTGTGAAGACAAGAATCTTTTCCTTCTCCAGTTTACGTAGAATATCTTGATCTGTTGAAATATGATTATATGCCACAGAATAGAAATCATGTTTGGAACTTAACACCATTATCCCCATATTACAATTACAAATAAAAGAGTTAGATGAATACACTATTTATCCTTTTTTTTTTTTTTTTTTTTTTTTTTGAACTTTTTTAATATTTATTTTTTAGTTATCGGCGGATACAACATCTTTGTTTTGTATGTGGTGCTGAGGATCGAACCCGGGCCGCACGCATGCCAGGCAAGCACGCTACCGCTTGAGCCACATCCCCAGCCCCACTATTTATCCTTAAGACAGCAAGTGGGCTCAATTTCTGGCCATGATATCAAAATTGAATTGTGACCTTAGATAAAGTCACCTCCTTCAGATAGAATGAAGGAACTGGATTCAGTCACATTTAATTTTTTAAAACTACCATGAAGAATGAGTAGTAACACTGATTGATATCCTACATTCTTCTTTCTTTCTTTTTTTTTTTTTTGTCATACTGGGGATTGAACCCAGGGTTGCTTCTACCACTGAGCAACATCCCCAGTCCTTTCTTACTTTTTATTTTGAGACAGGACCTTGGTAAGTTTCTGCAGCTGTACTTCAACTTGGGATCTTCCTGCCTCAGCCTCCCAAGTTGCTGGGATTAACAGGCATGTGCTATTGCACCTGGCTATCCTAGTATTTTGCACTTTGGCTGAAGGATCAGCCTCTATTTGTGTGTGTGTGTGTGTGTGTGTATGTGTGTGTGTTTCTGGAAATCAAACCCTGGTCCCTGGTCCTCAAACCTCTAGGCAATTACTCTACTATCAAGCTACACCCCCTACCCCAGCACTAGCTTTTGGGCTGATGAAGAAAACAGGGCAGTAGTTGAGGATATGTCTGTCAGGAGGAAAATAAAGCATCAATCCTAAGGACTTACATTTTTGGCTTCTGCTTGAAGGAAGGACAAAACTCAGGTGGAAAATCAGGCTATAGAATTTGAGTACTGACCCCCTTTCTATTTGGAATTTTGATTGCTGAGGAGAGAAAGCTTTTTAGTTGGGCTTGAGTAGGGCCAGTATATGATCTCAGACTGAGGCTTGGAAGCCTGTTCAGCAGATAGCAGACAGCTCCACACACAGATCAGACAGCCATTCACTGGAATTTCTCATTAGGCACAATGGGCAAGACCTAATGCTCAGTGGACTGGGGTCTATATGCTCTTAAATTCTGTAAGGAATTTTTGACTGCGTTTATCATTGTAAATGAACATAGTAACACTTTACTGCCATTAAGAAGACTACATTTATACTTTTGAAGACCTTGGGCACTTTTGCCTTCATGAACTCCATTTTCCATAAAGAAATATTAAAATTTTCAGTTTATTTTAAATTTTTGTTGGTACTGGGGATTGATCCCAGGGCCTTGTGCATGCTAGGCAAGCACTCTACCACTGAGCTACATCCCCAGCCCCAAAATTTAATCTTAGAACTACATTGGTATAAAGTCAACCATAATTCAGTTAAATTATTATACATCCAATATCATATTCATTTTTTCTTTTGATGTCAAAATAAAAATATTTTTTGTGGAACTTTAGAAATATCATCAGCCCTAGGCTTTCAGCTTACTATGCTTCATGGTTAAGTTGGTTCTGTCTTGGGACTTTCTACCTCCTACTTTGCAATCCCATAATCACTTCTCTGGTACAGTATGAGATCCATTGTCTCTCATGGTTTCTTTAGTTTTTTGAAAATTTCAGTCATGTTTATAGTCAGATTCATACCTCTGTAGTCTGAAGTCTATGATCAAATAGAAAAGCAGTTTTTCAACTATGAGCTTTATTGTTTGCTGAATTGAAGTTATCTCTAACTACTACATGCCACTAAACAATGATGGTTTTATATGGATCACTTTATCAAAACTACCCTTAAAGGGTGGGAATGTGGATCAGTGGTAGAGCACTTGCCTAGCATATGTGCGGCTCTGGGTTTGATCCCTAGTCCTGCAAGAAATGAAAAATATAAATAAATCTAGTGAGTGTTTAAGAAATATACTTAAGAAGAGACATTTAAAGTATACTTAACAACTTAGAAAAATATTAATCTAAATTGGGACCATCAGCTTCTCTCTAAACTCTCTTGCTAGCTTTGCCTATAGATGACAAGAAATGTCTTATTTGAAATAATACCTGTAATTGGTGCATCAGGGCGGGATTGCTCCTTTCTCCAAGCAGGCACAAATACAGTGATATCCTTGTGGCCTTTATCTAGAAACCAATCCACAGCAAGTTGTATTCCTCTACAGGAGAACTCTTCTTTATTCCCATGACTTTGGAACAAATAGAGAATAAGAGGAAAGAGGATTAACAACAGATAGAAAAAACAAAAAATAAAAACAAAACCCCCAAACAAACAAACAAACAAACAAACAAAAAACAATAAAAAAACCACTGAAAAGCCCAAGGGATTAACATCAAGGGATTAACAACACATATTTTTTATTCCTTGATGATGCCAAAAATTAATTTTTTTTTCACAACAATTTTTGGGTACTGGGGATTTTACAACTGAGCTTTGCCACCAAGCTATACCCCCAGACCTTTTAAATTTATTTTTTACTTTGAGACAGCACCTTGAACTTGTGATCCTTCTGTCTCAGTCCCCTAAATTGCTGGGATTAGCATTATAGTCCAAAGAATGTATTTTTTAAATTTTTTTTAATTGTAGATGGATACAATGACTTTATTTATTTTTATGTGCTGCTGAGGATCAAACCCAGTGCCTCACATGGGCTAGGTGAGCACTCGACCACTAAGCCACAACCCCAGCCCCAAAGAATGTATTTTTAAAAGAGCAAATCAAACTTTTAAAAATTAAATTGTCACAAATATTGCCACATTATAAACTTCACAGAAGGCCACAGATGGTTAATAACCACTCCTATAGTAGCCTTGGTGACCATTTCCTATTATTGTTTTCATTTTCTCACTATTTCTATTGCCAACTTTTCCCAAAGATTCAGATATTCACAACAGATGGAAAAATAGTGGAGGCTTTACCAGAGGGTTACATGGAGGATTAGTTGGAGATGAGTTATTAAGCTTAAAAATAACATGACAGGAAAAGATACATACAGAAATGTTGACAGAAAATGTTTATCACATATATTTGCTTAATTAAATATAAAGCACTAAAATCATATTTTTGAAAAATTTAAGGTATAAGAAAAATTCACAATAAAATTCTATAAAAGAGAAGAAAGGATATATGGCATTGAGATTACATATGAGTATGGTCTTAATTTTTTTTTTTTTTTTTTGAGATGGGGTCTTGCTGTGTTGCATAGGTTGGCCTTGAACTCCTGGGCTCAAGCAATCTTCCTGTCTCAGGCTCCTGAGTAGTCAGGTCTATAGACAAGTGCCACAGTGCCCATTTTGTAATACCAATTTTGCAGAAAAAAATCCATATATAAACTTAGAAAAATACTAGAAAGAGATACATAAAACATTAATTGCCATTATGTGTTAGATGTTTATTAGTGACTTATTTTCTTTCCCTAATTCTAAAATTCCCTCAAAAAAACCAAGCACTCTTTTATAACCAGAAATGATATAATAAGAGATGAAATTCTATCACAATTACTTATAGGAATAAACACTGTTCAAATTTAAAAGGCCAATTTCTTCCAATTTCTGAATGGAAATTGGAAGAAGGAAAATTAGCAGAAAAATAGGGAAAAGATGCATAGTATCTATTGCCATCATCTTCAAAACTCAAAAATTGTGTACTAGTTTTGTGTCTAGTTTGGCTGTGAAAATGATGATCCCTTAGCATGGTATCAGGTGCTCTAACATATACATAAATCACACTAAATTATAGTTAATTAACTGCTCCAGTGGAAAAACAAATTGGCATACAAGCACCAATTCTATCAAAATCAAGTGGATGTTGTTTGTTAAACAAGACTAATCAAGAGACAAGAACTGTTTTGTTGGTAGGCACATTAAGACAATATGATGGGGGGCGGGGCTGGGGCTGTAGCTCAGTGGTAAAGCACTTGCCTTGCATGTGTGAGGCACTGAGTTTGATCCTCAGCAACACATAAAAATAAAGATATTGTGTGTTCATCTACAACTAAATAAATGTTAAAAAATCTAGAGACTAGTATCAACATTATTTTTTTGAAAAAGACAATATGATGGGTCTTCTCATGTTAGATTCTTCTCTTTCTTACTGGCACTCTTACTCAGCTCCAACAGAAATTAGCTCTAATTACACATATTTTTCCCTTTGGGTGAATTCACATATAATCTCATGAGCCTCATGAATACATGCACTGCAAGACTTCCCATTATTTTATCACTTTTTTGGCACATTGCAAAAATTTATTAACTGATTTGGTTAACATTTCTAAGCATATGCTAGCCATCTTAAAAGTACTCAGTGACTACCACAGAGCAATTATATTACTCTACTCAAAGTCAAAAATACTTAAGGAAAAACGGGGGTACATTTAACTGCCAATACACTCCAAGACAGCTTTGGAAACAGCTACCATTGATTGCTTCTAAAAATTGTTTAATGAGAAAGCCCAGCATTTATAGGGTTAATATTGGATAAACCCAACATGAAACAGACAGATAGGGAAGATGTCCACTTGTGAGTTTTCCCCACTATAGTGATGGTAAATATAAAGAATAACAAAGGAGCCATGTGTGAATTTGCACACCTGTCATCCCAGCTACTGGGGCAGAGGCAGGAAGATTAAAAGTTCAAGGCTAATCTGGGCAATTCAGCAAGACTCTGTCTCACAATAAAATTAAAAAAAAGAGCTGAGTTCATTTCGACATTCATTGCGTGCGGATGGAATATAATTTGCTCCACATCAATCCCTAGTACTTCCCTTTCTCTCCCCTCCTCCCTCCCTTTGTTCCCTTTCCTCTAATCTACTGATATTTATTCTATCTATTTGTAGTATTTTTTAAATTAGTGCATTATGGTTTGCATAAAAGTGACATTCACTGTGATATATTCATATATGTGCATAGTAAAGTTTGGTCAGATTCATTTCATGGTTCCCCCAATATTATGCATAACTAAAAGGAACTAATAAAAAGACAGGGAATTGATTTTTAAAAAGAGCTGGGGATGTAGCTCAGTAGCAGAACATTTGTCTAGCATGTGCAAAGCATGGGGTTCAATTCCCAGTACTGGAAGAAAAATAAAAAACAGAACTTGGGAAAATCACCAAAAGTATCATTAGAAAGGTAATTTAGAGGAAGGGGATGAAATTTCACTTTGTTTGGCTTTGCAGTACTATAATCTTGTTTTAAACATTGTTTAGGTCCAGAAATAAATACAAGAATAACTTTTTTTCTTGAATACTACAACTTTATATTTTATACTTCCAAATTCTTTGTTTTAAATATTGTATCATTAGAAATGTATATGCTTATGGCATAGAATGTGGAAAATGTATAAAATATAAAGAAAACCCTGAAGATCCAACTGTTTTACTACCACCCAGAAACAACACTGCCAATATTTTGATACATTTGATTTTTATATCAATTTCTTTACATACTGAGAATTGTTAAAAATTATGCCATTGGAGCATTCCATGAGTACATACTGAGCATTCCATGATACATACTGTGAAATGCCCAGTAAGAATCAGAAGGTAATATTAATCAAAGTAGCAAGGAAGACCTACAAAAGAGTTCAGTATGCAAAGTTTAGTGCCCAATGAATGTTTAAGGAATGGATTTATTTTTAAAAAGAAAGCAATAAAGTAATGCTTGCAAGATAACCCATTTTTGCCCAAACATATAAAAGGTCATTTTGCAATTTAAAAAGGCTAAAAAGCTCAGAACCTGCAGTCACAGTGAAACTTGAATCTTGGTGAAACTACTCCTCACTTTGTCTTGTAAACTGCTTTAGGAACATATCATGATCCAGGCTATCAAGCAAAATTCTGCATAGCTGGCTTCTCCCTTGCAATTTTTTAGTAGGGTTCAAATATTTGAGCTTCTTTCAGACTTAACAAAGAATCCAGTGCCATTTACATTTCAAAGTCCAATTCCTCTGAATTGGATTTTTCCTCCCAAAGGAAACAGCTCTCAGAATGAATGTACCCTTTAGGATCTTAGCACATATCTTAGCATATTCACAGTATGTGAATCACAGGTACACCACTTCAAATGTTAAACAAATGCCATCAATGGCAAACAAAGTATCATAATTTAAACATAGGCTTATCCAACATGCTGAGGAACAACAGATGTTAACATGTAATTTGTATAAGAAATACAAATCTCATGGTAAAGCTATAGCCAGCTAATGGGGAAAACTAGATTAAGAACAGTACTGAATTCATAAGTGGATTATAGCACTGAACTTTGACCATGTGAAATGTGATTGGAGAATAAGTGGGATCTGTAGGTAAGTAACCTGGCCAGATAAGAAAGACACTAACAAGGACAGATTTGGCAACACTTCTTTTTTCCTGGTACAGAGTATTGAGTTGTGGGTCTCACACATGAGAGGCAAGCATTCTACCAACAAGCTACATCACTGGCTCTTTTTTTAAAAAAAATTTATTTTGAGACAGGTTCTTACTAGTTCCCAGGTTGGCCTTGAATTTTTGATCTTCCAGCCTTAGGCTCCTAGGTAGCTGGGAATTCAGTATGTGCCATGATGCCCAGCTCATAGTTGGCAACTAAAGAAATTATGTGGTCCACTATGTACTGTCTTAATATGCTATTAAAGTAAAGTTGAGTAGTAATTTTTTTTTGCTTTATTAAACTCATGTGAAGTACCTTTAATTTAGCAAAGCAACACATCAAGACATAATTTGCTACCGGCACAGACTAGATATGTTCAAACTAATCACCTATGTAATTAATCTCTTCACTATTCTTTCCAAACAAAGTAACTATAGAATGTCCTTCATCCTCAGGGATCATTGAACAAGGAAAATCTTATATCACCATAAAGTCAAAATCCCTAAGAAACCTGGTTTCTTTTTATCTCCAACTCTAAAACACAAAACCCATTAAGAAGGGCAGGTTTTGGGAAATAGGCCCAGTCTCTGGTGTTCTGGGTGGTCTGGTGTGGGCAGAGATTAAGTTGGGCAGGTCATATACCCATTAACCTTAAGAATCACTCTAGCTTATGACTATTAGGAGAAGAGCTGAGATACTTCTTTTTTTTTTTTCACTTTTGAGTAAAAAAATCATCCTCTGCTTTTAATTGATCCACTGCATCATTTTGATTGCTGTAGTGCTATATTTGGGTCATTTAGCTTTCTTGTTATTATACTTCTGGTTTCCCCTCATTAAAACAGGGATGATGTTTTGTCTGCTTTATACACCTTGTGTTGATGCCATCAGGATTTAAAAATTAGAAAATCTGTAAATGTATTCTCTGCTACTAGTAGAAATGCCAAATATTCTTAATAACATTAATGGCTACACAATACTGCATGATGCTGTATCAAAAGAGGATTAGAGTCAGATTCTAAGCTTTGATACTTATTACCTATATAACCTTGGACAGTTATTTAATCTTTCTAAACCCCGAGCCTCCTCACCTCCAAAAATGAAATGAATTAGTCCATTGTGGTGGGATTTTCAGTGAGGATTAAATTACATATGCAAAAAGACCTGGCATAGGGCTGGGGATGTGGCTCAAGTGGTAGCGCGCTTGCCTGGCATGTGTGCGGCCCGGGTTCGATCCTCAGCACCACATACAAACAAAAGATGTTGTGTCTGCCAAAAACTAAAAAATAAATATTAAAAATTCTCTCTCTCTCTCTCTTTTAAAAAAAAGACCTGGCATAAAATAGATATATTCATAAATGTCAGTCTTTCATTCATTCAAAGCCTGAAGTCTTAAGTTATAGTAATTCCTTTGCTAATTACTAGTTATGTACATTAAGAGAGATCATTTAAACTTTTTAGTTTCAGTTTTCAAATCTGTAGAATAAAGTTGCTATGTGGATTAAACATGACTATATACTAAAATGTACTTCCAGATAGCCTGCCAAGCTATTCCTGTAGATAGAAATGGTATGGTTCCTTTTTTTTCAGTACTGGGGATTGAACCCAGGGTCTTAACCACTGGGCAACATCCCCAGCCTTTTTTATTTTTTTAATTTTTGATACAGGCTCTCGCTAAATTGTTTAGGGCATAACTAAATTGCTGAAGCTGGCTTTTAACTCACAATCCTTCTGCCTCTGCCTCCTGAGCTGCTGGGATTACAGACATGTGCCACCATGCCAGCCAATGGTATGATTCTTAAGACTTAACTTCCACCTCTACTTCTTGTACCTCATTAGGAGCACCTGATACTGGGCCACATGTTGTAGGAAAAATAAGGGATGCATAAAGCAAGTTCCTTGTCCTCAAATACAATGGGATAATATGATTTAAAACTTTCTAGACTGACACCCTCAAAGACAATGGGGTAATATAATTTAAAACTTTCCAGACTGACACTTTTATTTTGTTCTGGTTTTGTATGATTTAAGGAATGCAAGTGAATCCATCAAGCAATGGTGGACCTGATGGGAAGTAGGATCCTGATTATTGGGCATTTTAAGCAGAGGTTGGATGACAATTCACTTGGGAAATAGAAGGGATTAGTGAGGCTCTCTGACATGAAATAAAAAAATCACATAAGAGTATAGAATAACATATATAGGCACTACTGGTACTATATTAGTATCTCATTGCTGATAGTATTTGGCACTTAGTGGCTTAAAATAATACTGATTGTTCTCTTATAGTTCAAGAGGTTAGAAGTTTAAAATCAAGATGTTGACAAGGCTGCATTCTTTCTGCAGGCCTCAGAGGAGAATCTATCTCCTTGTCTTTTTCAGCTCCTAGTGGCCATGTACATTCCTTGGTTACTGGCCCCTTTCTTATACTATTGATTTTTATTTCCTCCATTGCATCTCCTATTACTTATTCTTATCCTGCTGCTCCCTCTAATAAAGACCTCTTGTGCTTACATTGATTCACCTTGATGATGATTAATCTCCTTCTCTCAAGATCCTAACACAAATGTAACCGCAAAGTCCTTTTTCTCACATAAGATAATGTTTTCATAGGTTCTAAGGATTAAGTTTTGGACATATTTGGGGTCTATTCTTCAGTGTACTGGAGGAATTGTAGCTCAGAGATAATTGATGAGATCATAAAAATCAGGAAAACCTTTGTGAAGATGGTTCAACTTGAAGAGTATGAAGGTAAGGAGGCCATTTTTAGGTTGGGAAATGAGTATCAGGAAAGGGACTATAAATCAGCATAATTTATATGGAGACCATTAAAAAGGATGATATAAATGCAATAAGTATTATAGGTGTGTTCAAATGGGAAGAGGAAAAGGTCAGATCATAAGGAGTCTCAGAGACAGACAAGGGGATCCAAAATTGGCAGAAGAGCAATTTAGCATTGCTGACAGTAAGTAAGTCTCCAAGTGAAACTATGAAGACAGCATTTTCAGGATGATTAGTCTAGCTAAGTAAGGATGTGACAGCAGACCCCAAGAGCTAAAGGGCTATGACTCCTCTGAAGCATCACTGATTATCAGAGCTGATTTCAAAACACCTGAAAATAAATTTGTAGCAATTTCAAAGGAAAGAGAAAAAGCAAGGACAGCATTATGATAGACTCTGTCTACAAGACACAGACAACAACTAAGGGCTTCTTTTCAAAGGAATACAATTTATATGAGCTTAGGACAGGTTTTTTTTTTTTAAGAGAGAAAAAAAATCACTAGTCTTACCTCATAGCCACATTACTTCCATCAATGACAATTGGCCTCAAATTGTCACTATTGTCTATTTCATCTTCAAGAGACAATTCAGGGCTTGCAATCTCTCTGGAGCCAGGCCCACGGGGCACTAATAGACTCAAGTTGACCTGCCCTTCTGAGTCACCTTTGTTCCCAAGTCTGACAAGCTCTGCCAATACATCATTTATAAGTGATTCTGGACCCAGTTTATTCAGCACTGATTGAATCTGTTCCTCAGCATAGCCCAGCTTTAGAGCAAAGTCCATCTTGGCTTGATATTCCTTCTCTATGTCGAGTTTACCATCCTGTAAAATGCTGCTCTGGGAGAAACTTGGACGATCCAGGCAGGGTGATCGACAGAGCTGGCGGTGTGGCTTGGAGGGCATCTCCTTTCTCTTCAGCTGACCATCTCCAGGTTGGCAGCTGCTGTTGTTGCTGCTCTTAAGGCTCAACTGTTCAGGGTCACTCTCAGAGCTCATCCACTCTTCAGAATCATTATTTCCCTGCTCGGTACTGTCCTGCTTTGGATGCTGCTTCTCTTCCTTGGAGGCACTCTTCTCCATTTTTGGTGTCTCCACTGCAGCTGTGGCCGTCATCCCGTTCAGTGGATAGTCTGAGGTCTAATCAACTCTTTTTCTTTTTAGCCTGCCTGGAATCCTTGTATAGTGGCATTCCTCTGTGGTAAAATGTGGTTGCAATGGTGCAAAAGTTTGCCTGTTTGGTTTGGTATGTTCAGATGTTACCAGTCCCTACAAATAAACACATGCCACAATCATCTTTAGTAAATTTCTGAAAAAGAATCTAATAGAAACGTTTCTTCCTAAGAAACTACAGATTCTCTGTCATTTGATTTTTCTGCTTACAATGATTAGCCTTGCTTTACACTAAAAATAGTCTTCAATTCTAATAATTCTAGACAAAATATCAGTGTTGGCAGTAATGTTGTAATTTCCACATATACATATACAAATATACAGCTAAAGTTTTCATTTGTCACTATAAGTTTGAGAAAGAAAAACAATGCATTTCAGCAGGGTGAAAAGTATGTGTATTTCTGGGTGTGTGCACATGTGTGTGTGTGTGTGTGTGTTGTGTGCTCGCATGTGTGTGTGTTTGTATCTCCTTGGAAAGACTTTTTTCTTCTTTTCTGTGAGAGAAGTGTTTCTAGATTCTTCAGCATACCCTGGCTAAGGCTGAAATCCACTCCTGAAGAGCATTTCCTATTTAGCATTACTCTGCAAAATATCAGGAATCCCATCAACTAAACAGACTGAACAATGATTAAAATTGCTTTCATACAACTGAAGTAGTCTGTAAGAGTAACAAATAGGCATATTCCAGATGTAGATGGTGGTATGCAGATACTCTCGAATATGTATGTAGTCTTATTTATTTATTTGTTCATTTATTTTGAGATACTGGTTATTGAACCCAGGAGCACTCTACCACTGAGATACATCCCCAGCCCTTTACAAGTGTTAATTTTGAGACAGGGTCTTGCTAAATTGCCCACTGGTCTTAAGCTTGGGATCCTTTGCCTCAGCCTCCCAAGTAGCTGGGATTACAGGCATGTAACACTGTACCCCACTGCAGCCTCTTTTATTTATTATAATTGGTAAACAAAAGGAGAAAACTGTATGGCTACAGTGGTACACTCCTTTAGTTTCAGCTTCTCTGATGGTTGAGGAGGGAGGATTGCTTGAACCCAGGAGTTTGGGGCCAGCCTGGGCAATAGACCAAGAAGCCATCACTTAAAAAGGAGAAAACCAACACAACTTTCATGATAAACCAGAACATTTTAAAAAGAATATTAATTACAGAAGAGAATTAGGGACTACTTTTATTTACAAACTCCTCTCACCTACCTCATCTTTCCTGGCAGGTTTCAATTATAACCTGTTTTCTTCTCTTTGAATATCAGTTTTCTCATGTGTGTGAAATGAGGATATTGATAGCCATCTCACATAATTGTAAGGATTACATAAGATGAGTGAGGAAAGTGCTTAGAAAAGTGAACGAAACACTGTAAGTTTTTTTTTTTTTTTTTTTTTTTTTTTTGGTGCTGGGGATTGAACCCAGGGACTTGTGCATACAAGGCAAGCACTCTACCAACTGAGCTATATCCCCAGCCCCTGTAGGTTCTTAATCTATATAAAAGAGGAAAACCTGTAAGTACTGACAAGATTCTCAGGCACCAGCTGTGCTCATTATTATACACCAAGTCATCTACCTAAGCAGTATATTGGGAATTTCCAGTTACATCTGAACTCCATTTATGCCTACAAGAAAAAAAGCCACCAATAGTTATAACAATGACATGGATATCTGCATGATTACTTTAGGAGTCACACTTGGAAATATATTTATATAGAAGTGACACATCAGAACTGACATTCAGTCAGCATGTAATGACTTCTGTAATGATTACACTATTACTTTTGACTTAACAAAATCCCTTTAATGAATTAACCAAACACATTCACCCATTTCCTTCTTCCTTTTCCATAAATCTTTATTACTAAGTTCATTTCCAAATAAGTTTTTCATTTGCTATCTTTTATTCTTTTAAAAATAATTTCTGGTCAGGTGCAGTGGAGCATGCCTGTAATCCCAGAAGCTTGGGAGGCTGAGGCAAGAGGATTACGAGTTCAAAGCCAGCCCCAGCAAAATTGAGGTACTAAGCAACTCAGTGAGACCCTGTTTCTAAATAAAATACATAATAGGGTTGAGGATGTGGCTTAGTGGTCGAATGCTGCTGAGTTCAAGTCCTGGTATACCCCCCAAAATAATCATTTCTGGTGTACAAAGGACAGAGATTTTCCTCTTAAATTTACTCAAAGCTCCAAAGTCACTGAAAGCAACTATTTAAAGGACTCTATGTACACTTTTGGCAAATGAAAGGTACTTTTAAAAGACAAATTCCATCTCTCTTAGCTAGTGGGACATAGAATACATTTCTCCTTATCTACTATCCAGTATTTAGCTCTATTTACCTTGGCATTGATGGGATGGGAATGCAGCTCAGTGATAGAATGATTGCCTAGCATGAGTAAAGACCTGGGTTCGATTCCCAGTACCCAGAAGCAAAACAAAACACACACTGATATAGGTGTGAAAACTTTCCTAATGTTTATGAAGACATACAATAAGAGATTTAAATTTATGGAAAATCCCACAAAGATAGAGAACCCTTACTAAAATCACTATTTATAATTGCAAAAGTTTGCCACTTAATAAAATAGAAAAGAAACACACAACTTAGCAGAAATAAACTTGTGTTTACAATTTAAAGTTGTAAGCAAGAAGATTATTAGAAAAATAGTGGTTATCTTTCTGAAAACATGTGTAGGTGTCGTGTTTGTGTGTGTGTGTGTGCGTGTGCACGTGTGTGTTTTATATGCAAACTTCTTGGGACAAGATAGCAAGAATGTCTTTTCATTCAAAAGAATTGTCACTGAGTGACAGACACTTTGGCAAGCCCCAGGGTTAGGAAGAGAAACCAGAACTGAGTCTGTCCTCAAAGAACTCAAAAAATGGTAAAAAAAAAAAAATGCTAGATGTGGCCCTATGAAGTACTGAAACAGTTTCTATAGAGGGTGAAAATCTGAATTACAGGTCAAGCTGAGATACTTTTGAGAATAAAGGGAGTGTTTACAAATAGTTATGCCAGGAAAATTGGCATAAACTGGGGATGTCCCAGAAAACCTGGATATATGGTTGATTACCCAAATTACTTTCCTATTTCCACTGACATGTACTGTGAAAACCCATATCTCAGTGGGGTGTGAGGTAGGAGTGGTGGATAAAAAGATTAGGAACAATTCAAGAAGAATATTATATTTGAAGTTATTTTGAGACTCATAAATAAATATATAAAGAAATACAAAATTATTTACTTAGTGCCAACATATTAGGGTATGGGATATTAAACAGACAAGAATCCTGACCTCAAGGAACTTACAATGATGGTGGTGGTAAATGGAGATAGATAATAATCAAATTCTTATATAATTACATATTGTGGCTCAGTAATTTAATTGCTAAAAGGTATGGGAAACTATGAGTTGACCCTTAAGGGAAATAGTGATAATTTCCTGGGTGGAGAGGAATTTTTAAAATTATAAAGACATAAAGATCAATGATATAGAGCGTTGGTCAATATCTCATGCGTAATATCACTGGTGAGAAGGATAAATGAAAACATTGAGGATATCCTAAAGAAAACACCCACTTTTGGGGCTGGGATTGTGGCTCAGCGGTAGAGCACTTGCCTAGCATGTGTGAGGTGCTGGGTTTGATCCTTAGCACCACATAAAAAACAAATAAAATAAAGGTATTGTGTCCAACTACAACTAAATATATATATATATATATATATATATATATATATATATATATATATATATCTCACTTTTTCCCAAAAAGGAAGGGGAGTGGGGAGAAAAGCTTCGAAGATGATGCTCTAGCTACTACTTATGATAGATGTTAAAAAGAATTGTTACCTTTCATTGTTATTGAGTTGAAAAAAAATCACGAATGTGTTAAACATTGGCGTTCTTTGGAAAATTACATTAGTCAGAAAAAATTATAGGACTGGGTATAATTTGTTTTAAGAATCTAACAGCTTTGTCACTATGTGTTACAGGTACAGAGCTTAACTATAGTTTGCTTAAGAATTTCCACTAAGCAAAAAAGATTAGTCTTCTACTTTCTTCTCTCTTCCCCAGTTCTTTCAGTATGAAACACAATTCATTCAGTTTGCATTTGCACAGAGCAATTTTTCAAGATCAATCTTCAAGTTCTACTATAAATTTCACTCCATCTTTCCAAACTCTATCAAAGGACAACTTATAGGGAGATGTAAATATCTGACCATGTCTACTGATCTAAATCAATGGTAATGTTCCAAAAGGCCCCCAACTAATAAAAAATATTCATAAAAATAACAATAGGGCTGAAGTTGTAGCTCAGTGGTAGAGTGCTTGCCTAGAGTGTGGGAGGTTTGATTCTCAGCACTGCATACATATAAATAAAATTTTAAAAGGTCTATTGACAACTAAAAAACATTTAAACAATAACAACTACACAACAGCAATTTTCATAGGACAGAATTACTTGGCAATAGACAAGTCAATAACAGAATAGTAAAATTATTGATTTTCTGTTGATGGTTGAGCTATTTATTCAGGGAATGAATATTTTTTTTGGCTTTCCATTAAATACTGTATTTTTTATTAAATTATTTATTTATTCTAATTTGTTATATATGATGGCAGAATGCAATTCATTTCATATTACACATATAGAGTACAATTTTTCATATCTGGTTGTACACAAAGTATTTTCACACCATTCGTGTCTTACATACATGTACTTAGGGTAAAGATGTCTAACTCATTCCACCATCATTCCTACCCCTTTGCCCCCTCCTTTCCCCTCCCTCCCCTCTGCCCTATCTAAAGTTCCTCCATTCCTCCCATGCTCCCCCACCCCCCCATTACCATTATGAATCAGCATCCTCATATCAAAGAAAACATTCGGCCTTTCGTTTTTTGGGATTGGCTTGCTTCACTTAGCATTATATTCTCCAACTTCATCCATTAACCTGCAAATGCCATGACTTTATTCTCTTTTAATTCTGAATAATGTTCCATTGTGTATGTATACCAAAGTTTCCCTATCTATTCATCTACTGAAGGGCATCTAGTTGGTTCCATAATTTAGCTATTGTGAATTGTGCTGCTATAAT